TAGACGGATTTAAATGTTATGCGTCTAGATTTATGTATGTTTGTATAATATTATTATTATAGTCACGACATATGCTGAGCGGACACCTATTTGGTACCAAAATAATCCAATATGTAATTTAAAAATTATTTTTGTTATGTGTACCAAATACAAAATATTTTCTTTCTTTCTTTCTAAATCAAACGTGTTGAACGCATTAAGCACAGGTATTATACGCTAAAGCTTATTATATTTTTTGTATTTATTCATATACTAGATAGCTATATTATATTAAGTATTACCGGTTAACTTGCATCGATTTGAAATTTGTTATTCAAATAGTGAAAAGTGTAAAAACTATACAAGAAATACAAAATTACTATATAATTACTATATAATTATATAGATTAAATATTACTTTAATTAATTGTTTCATAAAGCAGCAGTGTGAATGAGTACAAGTACATAATATAATAACACAGAAAGTAAGCTCCCACGGTTAATGTAACGCGTTCATAACTGTCCTTGCGGGTCGGCTAACCGCACAAATCTTCACAATGGGTATAGCAGGTTCTCGATATGATCGCATCAAACTGTATTCTCCGTAAATGTAGCAAAAACTACCGTGACATTTTTTAAATCATTCTTTACGTTGCAATATGTTCTACATATACACAAAACATAACAAAAACCTGCATATTTCTATAATATCAGAAACTCTAAATATTTTTGCTGGGTATCGAACTAGGAAGCTTGATAGTATCGGAATATTTGGAACCGCAATCTAAAACGTCCAGACTAGTGCTAATTTAAAAAACCTTGCTTATGTACATAAAATATAGGATTTTTAAGTAGCTACGTGCCTTATCATTACGGTACGGTGGAGAACATTGTCCTAATCGTCTAGTTGGTGTAATTATATTCGGAGCACAAGGTCTGTGATTATTTGTTCTTTTTTAATTAAAAAAATATTTAGTAATATCCAATTTTAATTGTAAAATTGACAAAACATTCTGTCTGGTGTCTGATGTGAGCGTAAACCTGCAATGTTATGTAACGCCTTTGCAGAGCTGAGCTAGTGCCAAAATTTCACTCCGGCACCCACACAAAACAACTATGACAACCAGTGGCGTAAGGGAGAGTGGTGCATTATTTTTAACGTATTTACCTAAAAAATGGCTAGATTCTATGTCTATAATATATCATAACGTACACAAGAATTCTGGGAATTAGGATATATTTCACAACAGAGTACCACGCACTGAATCCAGTTTCAAGCTGAATTGTTTTAAGATTAATAGGTACAATATTATTATATATTTTATATATTCAGTGCAGTATGATTCATACGAATATACATACATATCGGCATGAGTAGCAAACAGTAGAATTTGGGCAGATTAAAAAAAGACAATAAAATCATTACATAACTGCACGTAAGTCTATCTTTTGAAGATACCTAACTCGCCACTTACAATTTACATATATATTAGTTAAATTAGTTAATATCGCTCAGTGATGTAATATACATATTTGTTAAAGATTATCTTTAACAAATATGTATATTACATCACTCAAACAGAAAATCTTTTATTTAGTTTAAAAACCAACACAACAATGTTGTTAATGTGGTTAAATGTCGCACAATGCGTGAATACGTTACTATACTCAAATACACAATTTATTGTATCCGACTCATGATGACACCGTTGCGTTGTCCTTATCACTTTGTTTGGGGTCGGTGTACCAATTTAAATTTTGCCATTCGTCATTTCTGTATTCACATGATTATTGTATATAAAACATCTTTCAATTTTTTTATTTAATAAAAAAATAGATTCCGTAATATATTGGATGTATTTTCATATTACGCGATTATGTAGAATACATATTGTAATTATACAAGTATTTATACAATTTTGTTCGCCACAGAGTTTACAATAATTTTATACTTGGTATGCGAACTCATTGGTGATAACTGGTGTTATGTAGTGTTTAGGTTAAATATGTTCACATACATGAACAAGTTCGTCCCACTGGATCCAATATACTTATGTCATACTATAGACGTACAGATGAGATGAACAATAGCTTGTAATTGATTTATAACATTTAAATAATACATTGTGAAGACGCGAGGGTTGACTTCTATATTATGAACACCGCATCTCCAGAACGCAGTGACAGATCTTTATCTGAAGATTACATAAACACACAGCAACGTACGAAATTTTTGCATTGACATTGATTCGTTGCTAAAATATTTACAAGAATAAATACACACACGTGATAAGTACAAAACGTTCATTATAATGTAATGTAGATCGCAGCCGTATTAATAAGTACTTTGTAAACATATTTTATTAACGGAATTAAATTATTAATCAAAGATTACAATTACTAATTATAATTCTTGGGTACTATGTTCGGACATAGTTGATATCTAAGCATCCCAATTTTGGACTGGAGTCACAGTATAATTTTATAATTATAATGTAAAATTTTACGCATTTTTTGTTTCTTTACAAATTATAATAATAAATTGTGTAATAACAGTGTGACAGGAAACAACTTGGGATACGTTCCTGGAAACTATCCAACACAGTTCGAAAAGAGTAATTTGTTATTTTCATTACATACCTCTGCTTTGTTAAAGTGGCTACTACTTTAGTAAAGTTGAATAAAACCCCATAAGAGAAAGGATATTAGGGTGTTTTATGTGAATCAGGGCGTGTGTCCAAGGTTAATACCGGTGTATGCGTTACGGTCGATAATGTCTCATCATCGAGGTCAAACGCTAATCGTTCTACATGGGGTCTTATATCTAGTCCCTAATTCAATATAGATTTATTAGTGTGATAAGAAATCAATATGTCATCAGCAATAATCTTAATCTAATTTAATCTTATTGTGTAATTGATATTTTGACTAATGAATTAGTGCTAGTTAGTATTTTGTTTTCACACATTTCAACTTAAAAATGTAAAGTTACAATAATTATTTAAATAGCATCACGCAAGGTTCTTGCTCGTTCTTCTTTTGATGATACAGATTTCCGAATGTAGAATAAAAAGTCAGGAATGTACAAGTTTTTTTTAATAAAGAATTTTCTATTCTATTCGACAATGGTATGTTGCACAAGTCGCAAACATGCAATAAAAATGTAACTGGTTGCTATTTATTAATGGAAGATATGCTTGCGAGAATTTCTGTCTATTTGTCAGTGCGTTTGTGCTCGTTAATCTCCGAAACGGCTTAACCGATTTGCGTGCAGTTATCACTAATATATTATAGTAATTATTGCATAAAATTTTGTGTTTGTTTTATTCCATTGGGTTTACATAGCAAAGAGTTATATAGTATTGTTATTCTGAATACAATTGCCGGCGCAAGACTACGCCATAGCGGGTTCAGCTACTGTATACATATTAATTAATTTAAAAATACAAGGGATTACAATTTTGGACATGATTCCGAAATATAACAAAACTCGAAAACAATTACCGTTAATGATTTATATTTAAAAATATACTTTTGTACCATAACATATATTAGCTACCTATTTAGGTTGAGTAAGACAATACGTTATTGTTTAACCGCGGGATTGTGTGAAACGGGCGAGGTCATCAGTGAATTAAAAAAATAAACATAATTAATTTGTGAACATTTGCAATTATAGAGTTCAAAGTAAACATAATATTTATGTATTGGAAAATACTAAGGAAGTACAATATCCCTTCTATATAAATTTATTGTTATATTTACAAAAACATCAAATTAGTAATCCACGTCTTTTCAACATTTTAACAACTTTATGGTCATCCAACTATTTTTGTAGTTTATACATTTGAGTTTGGGGTTATTAGTGACTACATTAATATTTATCTACGCAAGTAAAATAATAAAAAAAGAGGTTGGTCATTGGACTGCCATCGTGAAGTCTCAGATCCGGTTCCATCATAAAGTGATTCTAGATGAGTCAACATGCATAAGCTGGTGTCGATTGCCGACGACTAACCAAGTATTTATTTTAAAAACCAACAAATATGAGTTAATAATAGTCTTTACAGTTTTCCGACACACTAAAACAGAATATCAAGTAACAAAATGACACAAACAGTTAATTTTCTACGGCTTATAATAAAAAAAAAGGTGTGTATATTATTTTTAACTTTTATCTATAAATAAAATGTGCTCCTTTTTTGTAGAAAGTATCCAATCAAAAACAGATTTACATCAGGTGGATTTTTTCAATATGAATTAATAACGAAAGGTTCCGATCCTATTTACAGACTCATGAATAAAAGAAATGAGGCTGTTTTGGGAGAGAGACGGTCAATCTAACCATATTATAATAATGGCAGTACAGACAGTAAGAATATTGTAGTAAACACGCGAATATTTATTATCGTTTATGATATTATATCACTTAGAATAAACAAGAATAAATTAAATTTGTTCTCACCTGTACCATAGTAGAAAAATTTGTGTTGGGAACTTAGTAAAATTGAACAGTATTTTTAGTAAGTATATATATACATGTTTTTATTATAAATCTATATATCCATATTAAATCTGTTTGAGTAACCTACAAATACATGCGGCTGCGGGATAAGAAATGAGGCTGTAAGTGTCGAATACCCCTTGCAGGATGATTCATTCAATGATGACGCATTGGCAACCCCTACATTTTATAGACATGTATTTTGAATCTGAACAGAGTGTGTGAGTGTTTTTGAAGCATTGATGCTATGCAAATATTGATGATAAGCTCGGAATTAAAATCTTCATATTATATATATATAATACTATAAACGCGAAAGTTTGTGAGTATGGATGATTGTTACTCTTTCACGCAAAAACTGCTGAAAGGATATTGATGGACCTTTACAGTAACATAGCTTATGCATCAAAATAACAAATAGTTTATATTTTTATTGAAATTTATATATTGAAATTTAGCGCGTGTGAAACCGCGGGCACACCTAGTAATCAATAAAATATGTATTAGGTATTATTACCTTCACTGCTAAGGTTATCACGAGATTGTTGCAGTTGGCATTACAAAATCTGAAACAAAAGTAACAAAACATTGCATGAATGATGGTGTACCAACATATTATCCTTACAAACACCTTTCTGAAGTCGATTCGCTGCTAAATGATTCTTGTGTCGATTGACGCACAGTGATCACAAGAGTTATCTTTGTAGGGCGTAATACGAACAATAAAGTAATAAATACAGTGCTGTAGGTACAACCAAATATGGAACACGCAATAAGAAATCAATATGTTATGTACCTACGTATTTTACCGTTCGAACTGTACTTTAATCAATGTATGCCTTATTATTACATTCATTATAATAAATATGTACCTCAGCCTAATCTTTGATTTACCAAGCGTATGAAAAAATATAATTCTATTGTAAAATAAAAAATATTTCATGTGGGTGATGCTACCAAAGATTGATACTATAGATGTAATACTAGGATTGACCGCAATAAACCTAATATGGAAGTAACAACCTAGCTTATTAGCTGGTTTATTGCAATTAATAGAATATAATATTATACTATTAAGTGAAAAAATATATACTCCAAAATAAGTTTATTATTAGCAAAGTATTGCGAATTACACGTAAAAATAAAGCCGATTTGCAAAATCTCCCACGTTTTGAAACCGGTAAAAGACTGCTGTTCATGCGACACTGCATACTTTTTTGAGATAAAAGATAACACATGTCCAATATCCTTGTGATACAATTTCATTAAAATGCGTTCAGCTATTTAGTCCTGAAAAGTTAACAAAAGGGGCACACTTTTATTGTATTTGTTATTACACGTGCGAAATTTTATTAGTATGAATTGAGAGATGTAGAATTCAACGATAACATTAAATCAATCCAATGTTGATATTTAATATAACATAATATACATACGCTACATATGTATATCGCTGGTATCATGACTATAGCAACAAAACACCCGGAGAGTGCCTCTGCTTTAATCAGTGTAAACAAACAGTAAGAACAATTACACTGTAAACAATTATTGTGACGTAAGTACGGGTGCTATGTGATAAATATTAGCTCAATGTCACATTTTTTACACTGAGGTGGCAATTAGTATATGGTCTGTTCGATGGTAAGCGGTTTTAAATGGTATATGCAGGCTTCAGATACCTGTTATTATATATAATGTTAGTGGACGATGTTACAATACTAAAATACGCAATAACGCAAAGAAACCTATATAAGAGAAATTCTATTATGTCTTGTATATAAACTTTATTTAGAACCCGAAAATGCATTTGCACTGTGCATGTATTGAATATGCGAAAAGATTCTAATTTACTTAAAATTTAGAACTCAGATTTCCTATATAAAATGATGTCATCATTCAAGTTCAGAGGATAATCATAAAAAAAGAAACACAGAAGTTACTTAAATACGGACAGCCGTGAGAGGGATTTTTAATAAATACCCCTGTGACATTATAGTAAATATAAAAAATATTGTCGCCTAAGACATTATATATAGATTGATGTATTTATGGCATCTATTCGAATCTACCATGTCCGTGCCATAAACTCAGACGGATTCGCGTTTGACCGACATTTTGAAACCGTTACTCATAATGCAAACGAAAGTTTCCGGATTCACGGCTTGGGGTAATTTACTGTTTTCAATATCGGCTTTGTCCTCGTTACTTTGACAGTTTGTATGCTGCTCATAGCCCACATACAAACAGCAAAACGTTCGTGAAAAACGTGGACGGTACGTGCTTTCACTATCGAGAGAACAAATATGGAACTCTGATTTATCGCTCACTTGCATAATATGGTTCGGTCAAGGTCTTGTATTATTTTTATAAACATGAATTTAATACTTCCTTTACTGACATTACAAATACATCAACACGCTCAGCAGCGTATCTTTTATCGTAATTAAAGTGCAATATAATTAAAATAGATGTTAAATATCATTATTCAATACGGTCTATCGATACTCAAATATAACCGTTAGAAATTAAAAACAATTTCTTATAATAGATCATATAAGGGCAAATAAGATACTATCAAATAAATGTCTCCTATTACATGTGATTTTTAACAAGTGAAAATAATTAAAAATCGGAAAAGTCAGTCTGGTGTTTTAAATAAATAAGCGGTAACTACATTTATACAAAATAAAAAAAAACATTTACAAAATAGGAGTCTGTTAACTGATTATAGAAAAATCTTTGGATCCTCTGATACTTTATGTGAAAAATAATTGAATTTAAAGTCTATACAATATCAATTACTATACATAATATTATAATTAAATAGTATATTAAATAACGCAAACGTAGTAAGTATTGTGTCATGCAAGTACAGTCTACTTAGTATGAATCACAATCATCAAAATTGAGTGTTGGTAGAATAATGAAATTTTATGTAAGCCCATGGAATTTCAGGGAAATATTCATTTTCAAAATCTGTGTTTCTTCTATGTAGAACCGGCGAATTTAAATCTCCAGGAGCATAGGATTCGTTACTTGTTGAAATTTTGCGTATATACTCTATTTACTTAATATCTTCAAGAAGCTAACTTAATTATGCAATTATCTAATCCTACTTCCTACTAATATTTTAAATGTGAAAGTTTGTAAATATATTTTAAGATACTTGTTATTTAGTCACGATCTCAATCAAATTTGGACAGACCATATTCCATATTAGCACATAGAATACTTTTATTTTATGCATATGACGTGCGTATAGAGTCGGTTTCAAATAGTATTGTAATATATTTATCAAGTTGACTGTACACATAAGGAAGTAGTTATAACTCTCATGTTCTAGTATCTCTTTGGGTTTAAATTACTTATTTAAGTAGTAAATACTGTAAAATAATATAAATTAATTTATTACTTTTTACTTAAGGTAACATTTGTATTCATAAATATGATTGTTTGTATTGGCATGGGTGTTTTCAATGTATTTACAAAAAATGCATTTAAGTATTTACATCATTTGTCTACACATAAACTCTTTTTAGTTTTAGACTAGATGGCGCTGTATGTATTGTGCAGGATTGTTTGTATTATTATAGTCTAATTTTGTCGCTGAAATAGGGTTTAGATATATATAATCAATTTTTGAAAGTATTCTAACATAGTGGTAGAAATTGTATGTTAACTTATAAACTATCTACAGTATCTAATCTAACAGTATTCATATAAATGCATATTAGATAATTTAATTTTATCTATATGCGCATACCTTTTAATTTTATAAATTTAAATATTTTTCAATAAAGTCGACCGCGTTTTTTAATCTATTTAAAAGTTTTGAAGTATCTACCTGGCTATTTTCTAACCGTTCTGGTTCTTAGATGGTTATAATTGATGAAAAAATGTTATTTATTTAAGCAGATGGTATCAGTTTTGAATCTACTAATAGGATTACACGGTAACTACAGTAAGAACAGAAGTCTTATTATAAATGTAGAGATAAATCTAAGAGCAGTCACTGCCACCATATAGACTCCGTATAGAATAGAAAAATTAGAAACCTGAAATAGTCGGAAATTTAAATCGTAAGCCTACAAGTTTATAAAAGGTAAATTGTAGAGATAACATTAGTAGGATGTAAATATTGTACAATAGTAAACTGGAATATGACGGATATAATAGTTTTATTTGCACTCGGTGTATTGTTAGTTTAGTGATGTTATTGGTGGTGTAGTAGTTACTACCATAACGTCACGAGCACAAACCATGACTGAAGGACAGGGGTGCCAACCATATAGCCTTTGGTATGAGGTCATTTTCACGCTCATACAAGACTGTACGTCATTTTCATCAAAAATTGGTAAAACTATGATAAATAGTTAGTCAAATTGGGGTAATGTACGAAATTTAATATTTCTTTTTGTACAAGGCTAAGTGCGTAAAGGTTGGCAACCCTGCTGTAGGATCAGGAGACAAACGGTGACGACTGACGACGACGGAGGTGAGCGACCGAGCGCGGGTCAACGTCGCACGCGCACTCTCTAACTGCGCGCTCCATTAAAATATCTCTATCCATCGACAATTGCGCAATACTTTGTTATTGTTACTAATTGTACTTAAAATTTATAGAGGCTATATCAATGTAAACTCAGGTAACTTTGTTTTTCAGGGTTGACAAAAAAATGGTGCAAGCGCATGCGTTCATGGTACACCTTGGCGGGGCAATAGTGAAGATGACAGAATGACCATGAAATCAGGTTAGTTCGACCATCGTGGTTTATTCAATAGGAATAAACCGCGATGGTTCCCAAGGGGACTGAGGGATGGCGACCTGTCATGGTACAATGCTAGAAGTAGGGTATATGTATATGATTGTATTTCTACAAACAATTAGAACTAAACTGCATAGATTGTTTCAGATTTTATTTGACTGAGCTGGTTGACACAGAAGTCAGAAGTTATCGATTTATGTACACCTATCTTAAATAAGTGAGTAGATACCGCTGTTTGTGCACCCAGTAGCTTCCTCGTAAACAACACGTCCAAATTACAGAGAGTATATTGAATTGAATTCGGAACGTTAGTGGTAGGTTACGGTTAAAACTGACTACATGAAATAAGGAAAACTTGAAATAACACTAGTAGTAGTTGGTAATATAGTATAAACAGGGGGAAAGGGAATTGTTAGTAATGTGGAATGATCTCATTGCTAGCAATATACCATGTCAGATTGACCTCCACGCGGTTCCCCCTGGAAACCATCGTGATAAATTCGCCAAGAATTGGGCTAACTCACCTGACTTCATGCTCATCTTATCAACCTCCACTGGTGCCCCGCCAGCGTAGAGCAGGCGGGTGCACCATTCCATTATCAGTAATCATCACCCATAAAAAAAATAGTAAAAACAGGTACAGTAGAAAATATCGTATTCTTATGAGGACTTCCTAACATTAGGATGATAGTGAAACCTAGGAACTCGACATGCTCTGATCAGTTTTTTCAGGCTTATCTTGTAATAACAAAAAAAGTAAGGCTATTTAAAATATTTTTCAATAATGCGAGACCGATAAA